GATGACTTTCTTGTGGTATCATTTAATTTATTTCCCTATCCCTCATATTTTCCATAAACTGGAAACTAGATGTTTAATTAGATTCAGGTTCACTTCTAAGCTGTGTGATCTGGACAAGAGCCTTAACCTTTCTGTGTCTCATTTTCCTTATTGGTATATTGAGGATAAGAATGGTAGCTACCTCATTGGGTTGGTGTAAGAATAAAGTAGGTAAGTCATGTAAAACACTTAGAACAGTGCTTGACACCCAATAAATGGTATTTATTATTATCTGAGAAAAGCCTCCAACTTGAAAGTCAGAGATCAAAATAAACAATGAAGACAATGTAGGATATGGAAGAAAATGGCAGAAAATTACTATTGATATCTTTAAAAATATGAAATAAGAGAAGAAACTGAATCCACAACAAAAAGCAAGATGTTACCAAAAGGAAAGTCAGGAAACCAGGGAAAACTCCCAGAAATTAAATTTCTGTAGCGGAAATGAAAAAAATCCAATAGGAGAACTAGAAAATAAAGTTCAGGGAAATCTTTTAGTAAGTAGAACAAATAAAACCAAAAGATGAAAATGAAAGAGAAAAGGTTTTAGAAAACAAAAACAAAGGAATCTGTCACAGAGAGAGTTTCCCAAAGTTGAAGAGTACTCGTTTCCTGATTGAAAGAGACCACTGAGTGTCTAGCACAATAAATGAAAAAGGTTAACAGAACACATTATTGTGAAGGTTCAGAATACCAAGGATGAAAGGGAAAATATACATCTTAAAAGCTTCCAGAACAAATGAAAAAACAAAAATCAAATAAGAAGTAACAGAAATCAGAATACATTGAAATTTTCAAGAGTCTAGCCACATGAGAAACTAGGTAACAATGGACCAATACCATTAAAATTTTGAGGGAAAATGATTTCCAATCTAGAAACCTGTACCCCACGAAACTGTCAATCCAATGGGAAGGTAAAACAAAGCCATTTTTAGACAAGCAAAGTTTCAAAATTTTACCTGCCATGAACCCCTTCTGGGGAAGTTACTAGAGAATGTGCTTCTCCAAAATGAGAAAATAAACCACAGGCAGGAGGATTCAACCACAGGCAGGAAGATTCAGGAGACAGGGGATTTGACACGGGAGAGAAGAGACGGGAATCCCCAGAATGTAGTTAGCGGGAGTCCTAGAACAGTAGTTGGACAGAGAGGCCAAGGCTACAGTTTAGAGCGAGAGGAGTCTGGGCCAAAGGAAGGGCGTCTCCAAGAAATAAAAAAGACAGTGAATGATTGCTGGCCCTGACCGGGTAACTCAGTTGGTTAGAGTGTCCTCTTGATACACCAAGGTTTCCAGTTCAATCTTCCATCCCCAGTCAGGGCACATACAGGAAGCAACCAATGAATGCATAAATAAGTGGTACAACAAATCAATGTTTTTCCTTCTCTCTCTCCCCCTTCCTCTCTCTCTAAAATTAATTTTTTTTAAAAAAAAACAAAGAAAGATCACTGGATTCATGTGACAAGATCAAGAGATGTTTTATAGTCCTAATGGAGAATTTGTGTAAGTAACAATAGATGCACAAATAATTAAGCTAATTTTTAAAAATAGGCAATTTTTTACTCCAGAAAAACTCTTCAATAAAGTGAATGTAATCTTAGTATGATATACACCTGAAAAGAAAAATATTCTATACTTATATTAATGTAAACTCTGACTCAACTAACCAGTGAAGTTTGCAGATTGGCCAAGGGTATTTTGATGGTCACAAAAGAGAGAGAGAAAGAGATCATAAACTCGTGGAGGAAAAACAGGGAGGGGACTTTCACCCCTTCCTGGCTCCAGCCTTCACCTTCCTAATGAAGAATCCCAGACCAGTATCTCCACACACATGCCTTTCTGGAGCCCCACGCCACTGGGCAACTCTTGCCTATTGCCATCTATAAGTGTAAAGTACAATAAGTCTCTCTCTTTCTCACACACACACACACACACCCCCCTCTATTCTTTTCCTCATCCTTTTCCAAGCCAACTCATCAGCCTCATCAACCTCCATTTTTATCAATGGCTCCAATATTTTTCCCATCTTCCAGTTTGACTTTTTCACTCGTACTTACTTTATATCCGGTCTGTTTAGTTGGCTTTCTATTTATAAAGATTTTATTTATTTATATTTAGAAAGAGGGAAAGGGATAGAGGAAGAGAGGGAGAGAAGCATCAATGTGTGGTTGCCTCTCGTGGGCCCCCAACTGGGGATCTGGCCCACAATCCAGGCATGTGCTCTGACTGGGAATTGAACCCGTGACTCTTTTGTTCGCAGGCGGGCACTCAATCCACCTTCCACACCAGCCAGGGCTTTTAGTTGGCTTGTTAAAGCCTTCCAAAGATCCCCGCCCTGTCTCAAGTTGTAATCTACTACAGAGTTTATATGAACTTTATAAACTGTACAACATGTCACAAATGTAAAATACCCCTACTATGCCAAGATTTCTGAAATAGGCTCTGGCTTGGTTACCTTTATTAATAATAGTAATCCAATCAGCATTTGTATACAATTTAAAAAATAACATTATATTTTCTTCTGATTAAAAGAAGGAAGTATAAATATTGTTAAAGTATTGTAACTGAATGCATGTCTGGCTGCCTGTCTCTAGGAAAGCCAATACTCAAGAGGCAGGTGCTGATGTAAAGGAAAGAGGTTTATTCAGATGCTGGTCATCTGGAAGATGGGGGACTCGGGTCTCAAAGCCCACCTCCACCTCTCAGTGGAGGCAGGTTTTTATAAGGAGAGAGAGGGAACAGAACAAAGAGATCAAGGAAGGGGGTCGAAAATTTCTCCACATGCAGACTAGCACAGTCCATTCCAAGAAGGCAAGTGATGGTCTGGTGTGCATCATCCTGGTTTAGTCATCCTGGGTTCACGTCATCCCAGCTTCAAGTCATCCTGGCTCCCTGGTTGAAAGTCAGCAAATCTCCTAGAGCTGACATGCCTGAAGGTCGGGGTCTGTATCTTCTGAAATTTGTTCCTAGGATTCTTACACAAACATGCTGTTCATCTCCAAACCACACGTTAGTCAGAGTCAGCACTTGGAGAAGCAATGTCAAAAGCATGGTGGGGTTATAAATCCCTGTTACAATTTCTCACTGGTCCCAAAGAAGATAAAAATAATCTTTGCTCTTAAAATAATCTGGATTTACATTTTGTTGTTTTCATCCAGCCTCTTTTCCGTATGTATACAATAATTTATTTTGAAACAATGAAACAAATATTGTGATTATGTTATATATGCCTCTATGTAAGGTTTTTATTTAATATACTTAAAGCATTTTATTATGTCAATAAATATTCTTCTGTGTCATTTTAATGGCCACATAGAATCCAATGACAGATATTCCATAATTTATTTAATCAACCCCTATTATAAATATTTTTGTGGCTTCCAGTTTTTACACTTAAAAATAGTGTTATCTGATTGTTTAATTAGATTGGAAGTAGAATTGCTGATTAAAGGTTATGCTCTTTTTTTCCTTCTTTTTTTTAAAATAATCACTCAAGGATACATTTATTGACTTGAGAGAGAGAAAGAAACATCGATGTGAGAGAGAAATATCTATCAGTTGCCTCTCAAATGTGCCCATACCTGAGATGGGAACACAGCCTAGGTATGTGCCCTGACCAGGGATGGAACCTGCAATCCTCTGGTACACAAGACAACACTCCAACTAACTGAGCAGCCCAGCAGGGCTATGCTCTTTTTTTAATTTAGTAAAAAGGGCTCTTTAGATTTGCTGTCTTAATCATTTTTATAGTCACATTGTTGTGCAACAGATCTCTGGGACTTTTTCATCTTGCAAAACTAAAACTCTTTGTCCATTGAACATCTCCACCGCCGCCTCCCCCCCCCCACGCCCCGCCCCGCCCCCGCACTCCAGCTCCGGGCAATCACCATGCTACTTTCTAAGAGTTTGAGTACTTTAGGTATCTCATATAAATAGAATCGTGCTTTATTTGTCTTTTTGTGGGTTTGTGCTCTTTTTTAAGGCTTTTGATATGTAGTACTAAACTGATTTCCAAAAAGTGGTGACAATTTACGCCTTCAAAGTGTGTGTGTCCATCTGGGCTACACCGTGTCTGCTTAGCATCCATCATTTGTTTCAAAAAGAATGAAAGTAGTGGGCCTAAATGTGTTTTCCTTTGGATAGGCCATTGTTCTATCTAGAATTCTGGCCAAAGTACTTGCTGGGACTCTTGCTAGCTGTGTGACCTTGGACAAGTCACTTAACTTCTCAGTGGCTCTGTTCCTCTATCTGTAAAATGGGGATAATAGAATATTGTTATACATGTGCGTTACTATACATACTTATCATGAGAAATACATAAGTTAATAAATGTAAAGCTCTTCTAAGAACAGTGCCTGGAACATAAAAAGCCCAGAAGAGAGGTGGCTATTATTATTATTGTTTTTGTTAGACTGAACAAGATTTATGTTGTCAAAGTATTTGTCTACCATTCTCTTCAATCCTTTATAACCTAATGAATGAAAAATAACAGCCAGGTTTTTTGGACGGTGGTGAGGGGAGGACTGTATAGATGGACAGCTATTTTAATTTGTAAAATTATTGTAAATAACTGTAAAATATTGTAATTGTAAAAATAATTGTAAACTATTATCAGTAAACTTGAACGCTTCTCTATGTCTATATTGGCTATTTATATTTCCGTCACTATTTCCTTTTTTAAAGTACAGTGGCAAACAGGATCTCACCTGATCTTCCTAATAAGCTCAGAAATCAAGAGGAGAGGTAACACCATCCGCGCTTTTCTAATTAAGAAACTGAGTCCCAGGTTTCATATCTCATCCTTCAAAGCCTAGCAGCTGTCCCGGGAAAAATACTCCCGGGAAAAACCTTTGTTAACACTTTATCCGCCCCGCCCCATTTCTAAAGCCTACACGAGGCATTCCGACGTGCTCTTTGCGCGCGCGCGGCCCTGCCTGGGGGCGGGGACTCGGAACTCCCGGCCCCGCCCCGCCCCGCCCATTTCGAGGTGCGGCGGCTCGGGACTCCAGGCCCTGAGGTAGGGAAAAGCGAGGATCCCCTTCGTGGGGTGGTGCCCCCGACGCGGCGGGGCCCCAAAGTCCTGAGGCAGGGGAGGGAGGGTGCCGATTCCCGAGGTCGTCCGCCTCCGCCGCCATTTTGCACCCGGAGAGGGCAGCGGTGGGAGGGAGGCTCCGCTGGGGTCGGGCTCGGGCCCAGGGCGGGCCGGGCGGCGGAGGGCGGGGTCCAGCCGAGGGCGGGACGGCCGGCCCGCTGGCTTTGGGGCGGTGGACTGGCCGGGCTGCGGGGGGCGAGGTCCCTGCGGGCAGGACTGGGATGTCACTGTCCCTCAGGGCAGAGGTGGGAAATCCCGGGCCAGGAGGCTGGAGACGGTGCGGGGTTCGGGCTTCGGGCTTCCTGCTGCGAGATTTCGGCTGGCTCGCCCCTCCGGGGCTCGGCATCCTCCTGATTATAACAGTCCCACGTTAAGCGGCACGCTCCGGTGAATGAAGCACTTTCACATGGGTCTTCTCATTTGGTCCTCTCACAGCAGCTCTTGGGAGGAAGCCAGGGAATGGAACTATTGTCCCATTTTGCAGACAGAAAACGAAGGCTCAGAATAGGGAGATGTGCTTGGGGACGCCCAGCAAGGTCGGAAATGGGAATCGGGTCTTCCTACTCCAAATGCAGTGCCCTTTGCATTCTGCCGCGCCGCCTCTCCGGTCAAAGGAAGGGTCAGAGCTAGGGGATTATTAGGCCAATGACTGGCAAGTCTTTTCTTTCTTTTTTCCTTCTCTCTCTTCTCCCCATTTGTCCCCCTCCCCTTCCCTTTCCTTTCCCTCTTTCTGTACCATCAGGTCAGAGCTGACGAAGAAGTATTCAGAAGCCAAGTCATGGATCCACCTGCACGTAAAGAAAAGTCCAAAGTTAAAGAACCTGTCAGCAGAGTTGAGAAGGCCAAGCAGAAATCAGCCCAGCAGGAGCTGAAGCAAAGACAAAGAGCAGAGGTGAGATTGAGGAGGGGTCCTGTGTACCGGCAGTCTGCTGGAGACAGTGCTAGAATGGAGAAATAGTAGAACTGTAATGGTGTGCCCTCCCTGCCTCCTGACAAAGCAGGCGTCCTGCCAGCTGTAGAGAGATGATCCTTGAGGTCCAGACTGGTGAAGTGACAGCCCAGAGTCACTTGCCAAGTTAGTGTCAAAGCCCTGACCAGTACCAGGACTACCGATGGTCAGGGCTTTGTGGTAGGGACCCAAGGGAAGGAAGAAAGGAGAAAGAGAAGGGACGTTGCGGGAAGGGTCAGAGTGAAGGAGCGCAAGTGTTGGACACCCCAGCATAGATGCTCTGGACTTGGCCTGGAGAGGAGCTGCTCATATCCAGGAAGGACAGGCTCAAGCTCTACACCCACCAGTGCGCCCTTTGTTCAGTCAACACTTACCATCAATTTGTGAATAAAAAGCTTAAACTATTTACACTGCCTAAGTTGAACCACATCCTGGCATGCGTGTTTTATTTTAGTATTTAATAACAAGGAAAAGCTTGCTGCACTCTTTTCCCTCTTTCTATTTGTTTTGTTCATTCCTTTCTCTTTTTTTTGAATAATTAAAATATACAGAAAAATTAAACGTAACAAACACCTGGGTACCCAGCACCCCAGATTGGGAGTGATTAATATTTTGTCCTATTTGCCTGGAGCCTTTTTTAAATAAGATAAATAAAAATTACGTATAAATTTGAAGTCCCCTTTGTCCATTCCTGTCTTATGTTCTTTTCTCCTCCCCTTGAGCAACCACTATTTCTTAACATACCTTTACATTCAAATATATTAATAGATATCCTTGAATAATATGCAGTATTCTATGGTGCTTAAAATTTTACATTAATGAAATTTTGCTTTATTTTGCATTTTGCTTACATTATGTTGTTTAGAACTATTTTATGTTAATATAACAATCTAGTTAATTCTTCATCGCTGCTTACAGTGGACTATTTTATGAATCTACTTTAGTACATTTACCCATCCCTCCAGTGATTGTTTTGTTTTGTTCTTGCTATTACAAACATTGCTGTAGTGAAAAATTTTTAAATGTCCCTTTTGGCACCTGCACGAGAATTTCTGTAGGGCATATTTAACTAAAAATAAAATGACTGGATATATTTTAATTTTACTAAATGTTGCCAAATTGCTTTCAAATAGATTGTACAAGTTTGCACCTGCATTAGCAGTGTAAAAGAGTTCTCATTGCTCACTTCTTTCCCAACAATTGACAGGGGCAGACTTTAAATATTATTAATCTGACCCATTCAATAAACAAATATTGAGCTGCTACTGTGTGCCTTGTCAGGCACTGTTGTAGGGACAAGGCAGAGGAGAGTCCCCGCCTGTGGGGCTTGCGTTCAGTGAATGTAGTAAGTAAATTTAATAGTGTGTTTGAAGTTAATCCATCAACTGAAATCTACCTTTAGATTTAAGGCAGACCATCTGAGAGCTGTGGACCTGGACTCTTAACAGATTGTTCCCCCTTTCCTTCACCTCCTCATCCCTACCTGGATCAAAGCCCCTTGATAATTTTACCACATTGCACTTGGGTGAACAGTTTAAGGCCTGCTATAAGAAACAGCCTTCAGAAACTGTCCTTTGTGTATACTGTAGGGATAGATGTTGTTGAGGACATAGTTCATGTCCTCATTGACACCCTTCTGGTGAGGTTCCACAGGTTAGATTTATTTGTCTGACTTCAAATCCCAGCTCCTCCATAAATCCCAATCCTTCCCATGATACCTTTGACTGGTAGTCTTCTTTGAACATCAGTTCCTCAGCCCTCGGTAAAAAGATGTTAATATCTGCCTCACAAGATTGTTAGAAGGAACAGAAATGTATATGGAGAGCACTTAGCACAGTGCCTGGCACAGAGAAAGCACTCAGTGAATGGCAGCAGTTGTTACCGGGAGTCGGCAGGCTTCCAAGCGTCGAGCTCACTTTCAGTGTGCGGACTCAGTGTTGAACAGCTGACCGTGTTTGTGTTGACTTGCTGAAATGTGATGTTGGATTTGCACTCTAGCAGCAGCTGGCACTTGCAGAGCTCTTCAGATGTGCCAGGCTTGGGGCCAACCTGCATATGCATGGCCACGCGTAGTCCTCCAGCCAGGGCTTATTATTGTTAGTTACTCGGGTATTATCGTCACTCCCATTTTAACCCTGGTAAAATCCTCCCTGCAATAAGGTAGGAAGATATCAAATACATGACTTTGGGAGGTAAAAGAGATTATCCTCATTTTAAAGTAAAGCAAGGTAACCAGAATCCCTCGTTAATGAGAGATTGAGGGGCCAGACTGCCATGTAAACAGATCTTCTGACCTTCAGCTCCTGCAAAAAGCACTTTGCTTTACAGCTGCCTTGCTGTTTCCTTTGTGTTGCCTGGAATATAATCTCCTAAAATAGGAATGTGACAAGACCCCTTGGCAGAGGAAGAAACACAGTTTCTGTTCAGTTGTGCACAGATGCCACATTCCAGATGTGAATGAGAGATGTGAGGATGGATGGGGACAGAAGGCACACTTGGCAGTTGAAGCAGCATTGGCACTGTGGGTGACCCTTTCCATCTTGAAAGTCTTTCATTCCTTGGTTCAGACCTCCTTACCCTTTTTGAGTCTCCTTTATCTGCTTATTTTATTTTCCTCTTTGTCCTATCAGCCTGTCTCCTTGAACTAGAGGTCTCCAAGAAGCCATTTAATAAACTTCTCAGTCCCTGGCACAGTAACATACAGATTACACACTCTCATTAAAGTGTGAATGAATGAAGCAGAGGTTTAAGTGTGTGTGTCCAGCTTAAACAAGATGAGTAAAACAAACACCTTTTTACTTACAACCCAGCTACAGAAGCAGCACGTGACCAATCATGTAGAAGCTCCTTGGGCCCCGCTCTGGTCATGTGCCTGACCCTTCCCATTAGCAGGGCCCTCATTCCTTAATTTCATGCTAATCACTCCCTTGCTGTTCTGTATTAATTTATAATTTCCTTTTTAAAAAAACTTTGGAAGTTATTGGGACACAAAGAATTTTTTTTAAAGATTTTATTTTTAGAGAGGGGAAGGGAGGGAGAGAAACATCAATGTGTGGTTGCCTCTGGCACGTCCCCTACTGGGGACCTGGCCCACAACCCCGGCCTGTGCCCTGACTGGGAATCGAACCGGCAACCCTTTGGTTCGCAGGCCAGCACTCAATTCACTGAGCCACACCAGCCAGGGCTGATTTATAATTTTTGTGTGTACTCCTAAATATCTTGTAGTATAAGAATATATTGTTTAGTTTTGCATGTTTCTAAACTTGATATATGTTGCTATAGTCAGACTTTCTTCATTCAGTATCTTTATAAAACCACTCAAACTTACTTGTTTTTATTGTGGTAAAACACATGATACATACATATAACATAAAACTTAACCTTTAACCAGTACTATGTTTTTTTAAGAATTGTTTGTGTTATTGCGTGTAACTATTTTCATCACTGTGGAATTCCATTTTCTGTAAAGATTATAGGATCTTACCACAGTAAAGAAGATTTTGTGAGAAAAAAAAACACATTGGATCATTCAAGCTTACTATTTATTCCAGTCAGTTTCGATCATTTTACTTTCTAGGCATTTCATTTACCTTTTCAAATTTATTGACACAAAGTTCATAATGTTTTGTTGTAATCTTTATTACATCAGTAATAATGGTTTTTTAAAAAGGTCTAATAATTTGTGTCTACTCCCTTTTTATCTTGATCAGTCATGTTGGAGGTTTGCTTTAGCATTTTCAAAGAACCATCTTGCAGTTTGGGTGGTCCTCTCTGTTGTACATCTGGTTGCTTTTTCATTAATTCTGCTTTTATTTTGTATTTTCTATGTGTCTCACTTCTCAGCTGTTTTGCCCCTTTCTTATATTTTTAATTTATCAAGTTATTTTCCCTAAGCACAAACATGTCCCTTTATTTTTTTTTTCTTCTACAAATTGGGAAGTTGTGTGATGTTTCTGTTCTTTAGTAGACACATTGAGACTACAAGGATAAAGAAAGGTGAGGGATAGGGTAGAGCCCCTGTTTTCACCTTAGAATGTCTCTTGCAGTTTTCATTCCACTCCATTGCCTGCCTGGGTCCTAGTCTCACTGTTGTAATAGATACGTCCTAGGTGGCCTGTAATCTCTCCTCCCCCGACTCCATCCCTCACAGAGTCGCCAGTTATCTTTCCCAAAGCCCAGATATAGTTTGCTCCCCTGCACACCTACCTTTGCTGGCTCTCCAGAGTCGGTCAGATAAAGTCCAGATTCCTTCACAAGGCATTTAAGTCCCTGGCATACTCCTCTTGCTTTCTCCAGCTCCCTAAGCCCCTCTCTATAATATCCTTCATATTAGCATACTTGAAATTTCCAGAACTAACCCTGTATTTTTCTGTTATATTTATTTAATCATAATATCCTTTTTTTCCTCCCTGGCTGGTGTGACTCTGGATTGAGTACCAGCCTGCAAACCAAAGGGTTGCCAGGTCCCCAGTGGGGGGCACATAAGAAGTAATGACACATTGATGTTTATCTCCCTCTCTTTTTCCTTCCCTTTCCCTCTCTCTAAAAAATATATAAAATCTTAAAAAAAAAAAAATCCCTTTTCTGTCCTATCACATATCAAGTCCCTTCTTCAGTCTCTACCTGTTCAAACCCTACTGATCCTTCAAGGGCCAGATTGAGTGACCTGCTTCACTGCTGCTTTAATGATTCCCCAAATAGAATTAATATCTACTTCTATTCCCTTACTGGTACAGTTCTGGCACTTTCAAATGGCACAGCCTGTTGTGTCTGAAGACACAATGAGCAGCTGCCTCCATTGCTAACACATCTTTTTCTCCCATTCAGATTTATGCCCTCAACAGGGTCATGACCGAGCTGGAGCAGCAACAGTTTGATGAGTTCTGTAAACAGATGCAGCCCCCTGGAGAGTGAGCCACCTGCGATCAAAGGAGATGGGACCCCAGAGGCTTTGTCTGTGAGCTCTTGCCAGTTTTAAGCTGAGATGGCCCATTTGGAGCCTTACAGAACTAGGCAAGAAGGCATTTGTGTTATTTCTAAAACTGGACAAATCTGAACTTCTATATGTAACTTCTGCTTCCTTGGTTCCTCCAATTTGAATTGGCCCAATGCTTGCTGAAGAGACTTGTTTTATTCTTCTGAGACAATAGTCTTTTTTTTAAAAAAAAACTTTTTCTATTGTTTGAGAACAATCACTGTTTCTTGTGAAACTGTAAATCTCCAAAACTACAAATAAAATATGCATTTGCTCATACTTTAGTGTGGGAGTGCCTAGCTGTAAAAAGCGGAGGCAAAAACAATGTTATAGGAGAGAGAGGTGAGGGGAGCAGAGGACCCTTGCTCCTTCACAAGGGGAATGGCGGGGAGGCGGGAGGAAGGACGTGACTGCTTCCAGCTCTCATTCTTCCTGGGGCTGGGGCTCTGCAGCCCCTGATCCTCTGTTTTTAGCCACACAGTGTAGATCTGTGCCCTTTACTCCCAGATGAGCCACTGCTCAGGGGTGGAGCCGGAAGCCAGAGTCCTCTCACCTTGTGAATGGACAGCTAAGAGCAGGCCTGCCCCAGCCAGGAGGGCAGTGCAGGTTTTTATACTTTTTTCTTTGGGGGTGACTATCAGGCCTAGAAATTGATTTATGATGAGGATATTCAGACTGGAATGTCTGAGCTCATGCGTATTTATAAGATTCTTACGACATCATAGTAGCCTTGTATACAGCTCACCAGAATGCACAACTAAATCAATTGTTTCCAAAGTAAGCATTTTGGAGGGCCAGGCACGGGCAGGCAGGGGAAATCCAAAAGCACAAATGAATAGAAGTTAAAAATATAGTGGGACACAGACATAGTCATCTAACTCTGACAAAAATACACGACAGAGGAATATAGAGCAGTGGGCCCTCTGTTCCTGTACAGCCAAATCAGAGCAATGTGGACCTCTTCGGATTTTTATTTTTAAATCCTAATTTCAGATTTAATGCATATTTGTCAAATCTATTGTTCTACAAATTTCAAGAAGTTAGACCTGAGGCGAAAGGTGCTCTGGTGCCCTAACTGAGGCAGGGGCGGGCCAGCCAGCAACACGTTGGTATACCAAAAAGTCAAGACAGTGTTGAGGGTTTGTTGCTTTCAGTGGACCTATGTTTTTTCTTTGAGGTGCAACTTTAGGGTTCCATGCAATACTGTTTATTTCTATTCACTTTGGGTTTTATAATACAAAATGGCATTTGAATATCAAGAGTTTAGTATTTTAAAGCCTAGGGAAAAAAAACACATAACAAGGTCCTGGAAACCGGATGATGCTCTCAAGCTTCCAATATGTCTAATCTTTAAATGAAGCAAAAGGCAGAAGCTTTGATTGTTGAAATAATTACAGAATTTTAAGTTATAGTAACCTATACACATCAAGTTGGGCAACATGATCGTCCTGTAACTAGATCCGCTCTATGGAGCCAGAGTCTCTAAGTTCATTGAAGTATTATTTTCAGCAGCCAAGATATGGAAGCAACCTAAGTGTCCATCAATAGATGATTAGATAAGGAAGAGTTGGTATATATATGCAGTGGAGTACTACTTGGCCATAAAAAATGAAATCTTGCCATTTGTGACAACATGGATAGACGGACCTAGGTGGTACTATGCTAAGTGGATTGAGTCAGACAGAGAAAGACAAATACCATATGATTTCACTAATACATGGAATCTAAAAAATAAATGAACAAACAAAACAAAAACAAACTCAGATATAGAGATGTTGCCAGATGGGAGGGGGTATGGGGCTGAGTGAAAAAGTGAAGAGATTAAAAAGTACAAATGGGCAGTTACAAAATAGTCACGAGGATGTAAAGTACAGCATTGAGTATAGGAAATAATATTGTAGTAACTATGTATGGTGCCAGGTAGGTAGTAGACTTATCAGGGGAGCACTTTTTAAGCTATATAAATGTCTAAATACTTTGCTGTACACCTGAAACTAATATAATATTGAATGTTAACTATACTTGAAAAAAATTATTTAAAAAAGAAATGCTTTAGTGAGCAGAGCCCCACCCCACTGCTGTAGTAATTAACAATCAGCAGTGCCAGGGAGGCAGGTACATTAAACCTGATGGGTTTCACTCCTTTCCAAGGGATTATTCTTAGCACACAAGGTCCCCAACTGGTAATAGAGCTGGAACTCAAACACAGCCCAAACTGAGCTTGGAAAAAATTCTGTTCCATCTGACATAAACAACTGTTGTCCTCAAGGGATTCAGATCCCTGAATAAAAGAGAAGGAAAGGTCGCTGGTCCTACTGTGGGTTGTTCTAGTTCGAGGCAACACGTATCTACCACAAGCGCAACCCAGGAACAAGGAAAGGTTTAGTGGAGATAAGGCAAGGTTGGCCCAGCAGGCTGGCCACAAACCCCACAGAGGCCAGTGGGAGCGGGTAGAACTATTTAGTTTCTTAAGTGCTGCAGCCTAAGACACACTGTCTTGCCCCACAGAGCATCTGGAAAGAAAATGTAGGAGAGCGACCACATCAGGCAGTAAAAAGCAGTTAGCGAGAATGGAGACAAAAGCAGCATAATGACACCTGAAAGAAAAAAAATACACTCAGTTTTTATGAAGCTGTCTGATGTGTATTTCCCACCCTCTGCTCTCCCATCCCCACTCACCTCCCAGATAAACCACTTTTTTCCAGTTCTCAGAGTCCAGGATTTCATCATGCGGGTAGTAGCTCTGGTCCATCATGAACAGAATCATAAGTGAGGCCATGCAAGAGAGAATGAACGTGTTGCCTTTGGTCAGGAGGGAGGTGGAGGCCAAAACACAGGAAGCGTAGGGGCAGGGTAGACCCTTGTATATGAAGGGAGTGCCTGCTAAGGAAAGAAAAGATGTGGATTAGCTGCTTCCTGCTGACCCTGAGGTATCTACATGAAGCAAGCCTCTGTCCCTTTGGGTTTTCCCCATCCCACGCTCCCAACCCCCCTTAATCGCAGGACAGTGGCAGGCCATAAAGTATTTGGTTATTCACAGAGATGACATGTGAGCTTGGCATTGGATCCCAAAGTAAGGCAGGCAGCTAGGACCAGGGTTGTGCCCCAGCCCTTGGGAAGCCTCTGCAGAAGGGTCCTCTGAGAGGTAATCTGCATCTGCATTCCCCTGCTTTAGGATCTTAGGCAGTTGCCCTCACCAGAGCTCGGTATCGCCATCTGTTTTTGGGAAACTGGAGTATGACCTCTAGTTCTAGAGTCTGAATCCATGTTCTCCATCCAAAGGTCACATAGCAAGAAAAAGGCACAGCTGGCCCAAGAACCAAGGGCCACCAGCCCCTAGACCAGGGCTCTACCAATGCAGCCTGCAGTCTCCAGTGGGTCTGGGGCACAGGAGGAGGAACGGAGGGGGACTTTATAAAAGGAAGGGGAGGAGTCAGCTCCTGCACCCTAGGCTTCTGGCATCCAATGGCTCCTCCCCACTGTGGTTCCCTAGCTCAGCCATAAGACTGCGGTCCACTCACCAGGTGAATAAAAACACAGGCGGAAGGAAGTAGCTAACACGTAGATGATGGCCAGGAACCCATTCAGAGGCCCATCCACGCCCAGGATCAGGGCTGAGGCCAGGCCAAAGGTAGTGAAGACAGCAAAGTCATTCAGCTCAGCTCCTGCTCCAGAAGGCCAAAATTAGAGGAAGTTACCCTTATACATCTGGTACATTAGTCCCCTCTGATGGGGGTGCTGGAGTGGTGACAAGTAGGGTCTGAGGTCCCCAAGGCCAACATCTGCTCCTCCCAGGGTGCTCCATAGATCAAAGACTGGTCTCAGGCTCTTCCTTAGACTGACCATGTGGCCTTAGGCAAGGCTTCCCCTGTCCAGGTCTTAGTTCCGTCCTTTAACATGCAGGGGTTGGACTACATATTAATAACTGGATACAAATTAATAAACTCTAGAACCTTTTTTCAAGCAAAATCTGACACAGAACTATTTTATTGTATTTTCAATCAGCTGCTCTGCTAAGAGTAATTTTTCATTGCCCCTCTCCCCCACCATCCCGACCACTACTCCCGCTCCCAGTTCCTAGATCAGCCCTGAACAGAGATGCAGGGCAGACGAGGAACCTGAAAGCCAGGCCAAGGGTGACCAGAGGTCAATAAGTGAGGCAGCAGAGGAGCTAGGCCTAAGCTGAGGGGCCCCAGCTCCAACTCGAAGGCTGCTTCTGCTCTGCTCGCGGGATATGAACAGGACCGGTGTCTGATGAAGGCCTGTCAAAGATGAAGGAGTTGACCTGACACGGGTGCTCTTGGGGTCAGCAATTAGGGGTCTGAGGCCGAGACTCACCTGATTTGTAGCAGAAGTTGAGGTGTCTGGTCATTGTCCTGATTACCATGTCTAATAGGAAGCTGATCAGAAGCATCCAGGAGGCACACTGGAATTTCCTAAAGTGTAAGGCAGCAGGCCCAAGCAGGACATCTCTTTCATAGTCTCCACTGGACAACCACCCCACCTCCAGTACAGCAATACTTGTATACATACTTCCTATACTTGCACATATACACACTCCTGCAAGTTCTCCACGCTCACATCCTTTCTAATATACACTGCTTTACACACCATACACATGCACGCACACACATGCATGCCTATGTTCCTTCCATACTTTCAATCCACAGCTTTGAAGGAGTGCTCCAAACCACCTACATAATCACTAAGACCCCTTCCAAATCTAAATTTCAGGCATATTCAGTGGCCAATGGGTGCTAAGTTCTAGCCCAGCCTTTGCAACTACGTTACAGTGAATTCTCGGGTAAACCATTTTCCCCTTTCTCTAGGCTTCCATTCCTCCATCTGCAAAATAAGAGATTTGTGCCAAATGATTTCCTTAATACAGATAAGCCTGTTCAGATTATCTGTTCTCCTGCTGTGAATTTTAATAGCTTAAGTCTTTTACGGAATTGGTCCATTTCATCTAGGTTATCAAATTTCTGGGCATAGAGTTGTTCATAATATTCTTTGATTATACTTTTAATATCCATGGGATCAGTAGGGATGGCTCCTCTTTCATTTCTGATTCTGATAATCTGTGTCTTCTCTCTTTTTTTCTCAGTTAGCTTGGCTAGAGGTTTATCAATTTTACTGATCTTTTCAAAGAACCAGTTTTTGGTTCATTGATTTCCTCTATTTCTTATTTTCAATTTCATTGAGTTCTGCTCTAATTTTTATTGCTTATTTTCTTCTCTTACTTTGGATTTAATTTGTTC